GGCAAAGAGGAAAAGGGTCCACAGACCATAAACAGCTAACAAAACCTCATAAGACTGAGACCTCTGTGGTGAAAAACTCTACCAGTCATAAGGAACAAAATGAACAGGACTCAGTGAGAGTTTTACGTAGACCTAAAAAGACCTCTCAGAGAAATTCAGATGTTTTGGTAGGAGATTCTATTGATTTTCCCACTGATGATGATGATGAAGAGAGAAGGCGACACGACAAGAAGCCTGCAGGCCAACAGCTAACAAAACCTCATAAGACTGAGACCTCTGTGGAGCAAGACTCTACCAGTCATAAGGAACAAAATGAACAGGACTCAGTGAGACGTTCACGTAGACCAAAAAAGATTTTGCAGAGAAACTCAGATGATGTTTTGGTCGGAGATTCTATTGATTTTCCCACAGATGATGATGACGACAAAGAGAGAAGGCGACACGACAAGAAGCCTGCACGTACATTATTGTTGAAGAGGACAAGACCGAGGAAAGCTAAATCTGAACTTAAAACAAATGGACACCTTGCGTCCTCAGAGGACATGCATTCTGAGCACTCAGAGGGTGAGGAAAGTGTTCAACATGCTGTTTCAAATAACAGAAGATCAAAGAAATCTGAAACAGGAAAAGCAAACACTAGGAGCAAAAAGCCACACACAGAAAACAGCAATATGAATGAACAAGATGAGCTATTGGATGGAAAATGGACTGAAGAAGAGCTACAAAAACTACACGAGTAAGCTTTAATCTTGAATGCCATTTTATTTTATATACCGTATATATATATTTATTTATTAATTTTTTTAGATTTAAGTTGTTTTTTTTACAGTTGAAAGAAATTCTGGTCATTATTTTACAAATTCACATCATTCCTTTGGATGCATGAAATGTAGATGGATCATGATAGTACTGTGTATCTCTCTGGATAGGGCTGTCAACTCATTGCCCAAGCACAAGAGTGGTTACTGGGCAAAAGTTGCGTATATTGTCGGCACTCGTTCGGCTGAAGAGTGTCAGGAACAGTATAATTCCAATCTGAAGACCAACAAAAGACCCAGAATAAGAGCTCAGAAAGCAGCAGCAACTGAAGAGTCAGGTATAATTTGAAGGGTTATTACAATTTTTACAAATTGTCAAAGTTTTCAAATGCAAATTCATGCATTTGAAAAAAAAAAAAAAGTCTTGTTTTTTCTCACAGGAAAGGAAATAGTTGAAATAACTGCTAAAGCTGGAACACTTAAAAGGAGACAGCAGATGAGGCATTTCTTGGACCACATGCCCAAAGATAACCATGATGACGTCTTTGCCAACTCGCCAATGCACAATAAACAAATCAAGGTGCTTTGCTGTTGATTGATTTGGACATGCACTGAACTAGATTCTTCATGAACTGCACATGCAGACCTGATGAAGCCCCCTGTCTGAATGATACCATATCCTGTCTATACCCTACGAAAATCTAACTTGACGTTGTCTTTTGAAGTTGCCTGTACTTGCTTCAAATGGAGATGGAGATTTCAGCCTGCTTCAGAACCATCAGACGCCGAGTTCTAGCACTTCTACTGCTGCTAAAACCCCTCAGTGTCTGCACATCAGCCCAGGAATGCTGGGATCCATCAACAAGTACGCTTTCATCTCGACTGCCAAAGCTATATTTAGTGGGCGGATGCTGAGTGCACTCATCAGGCTTATTGCCTCATTTTAAAAATGTTTCAGAAATGCAGATGTCTAATTTGGATCTTTGTATAAACCATTCATATTTTTGTTTATTTTAAGGAATAACATGGACAAGTACATTTACCATCTTCAGAAGAACCAGAAGGGACGGAAACAGGGCAAAAAGGCTGCCCCAATGGTAACAGTCTCAAAATCCTGCTTATCTTTAATCTTGTTCCCATAAGTGATCCAACTGTTTTATTTTTCTCCCTATTAAAATGATGCAATATTTTTCTTGTGCAGGACAAGCTTATACCAACTCCAGTAGTAAAGAAGACGCTTAAGAGATGTGTTGGTATGCACATTTTGGTAACTCAAACATGCTACTGTGCATTGAGTTGAAAAATATGTTGTTTATTAATGTTACTCTTTTTTTTCTTTTTTTTTTCTTCGTTCCATCACCACTGCGTTTTTAACAGCTGAAGATGAAGACTTTGTGGTGTGGAACATGCTGTCAGATAAAGATATCCCATCCAGAGATGATGACACTGATGAGGAGGACGATTATTTTATGGAGTACTGCTGAGTTTCACTAAATTTCAGTGCTGTTAATCACATTATTTTACAATATTTTAGCTTCCACTTTTCCAGTTTTTAAGTGTGTTTTGGTTTGTCAAACACCAGTGCTCATGAAATGTTTGCTAGCTATATCTAACAAAACATCTCAAATGAAGATTTGTAATTTGCTTTGTTTGGCCAGTTCTTCTACAATGCAGTGTTTATCTGTGAGTTGTGTGTGTATATATATATATATATATATATATATATATATATATATATATATATATATATT